ATGTATCTGTGTAAGAATGCATCTGCGACTGTTTTGGCTGACGCGCGTTTAAGTGGAACAATTTCTGTCCATTTTGAAAAATGATCTACTATTACTAAAAGAAAACGATTTTTATTTAACTCGCTCTGGGGGAAAGGGACCAAGAAGATCTATGCCTAAAATTTCATTCGGAAATGTAGCGCGAATGCTATTTAAGTACCCGGCCGGGCTGTAATTAATATCATTTATTAACTGACATTGATTGCAGGACCTGACATACGCCGTTACTATTTTGTATAATTGCGGGAAATATACCGCCTCGCGTACCCTTTTTAAAGTCTTTCTGACCCCTAAATGGACCCGCTGTTTTTTCGCGTCGTGTAACTCCTTCAAAATGCTTAATCGAAGCGAGGCTGGGATGACTGGGTTTATACTCAAGATTTTCGTTTGTTGTTTTCGTATAAATAATAAATTATCTATTATTTCATAGTTTTTTGCTCTATTTCTTATCGCATCGATATCTGTGTGCTCAAAGCTTTCGGGGTCTTTCAAATAATGCATAGATATTTCCAAATTCAGGATCAGCTTTCAGTTCAGTAATAACCGTATCTCTAGAATCTAAAATTTTTGAAGTCAACACAGCGCATTTAAGTTCATTTCCTTCATCGTCCAGTTTTATACGAGAAAGTGCGTCAGCTACATTGTTTTCCTTACCCGGTTATATTTTATATGTAGATTATATTCTTGGAGTTTTAAAGCCCATCTTATTAACCTGGGCGTTAGGTTTTTCCCCGAGTAAAGTCTACCAACAGCCGCATGATCCGAAAAGACTGTTACTGGCGCTTTGCCGAAATAAACTCGAAATTTGTGTACAGCCATTAATACGGCTAATGTTTCTCTTCTCTGTAGCTGTATAATTCCTTTGTGTCTGATTCAACGTTTTACTAAAAAATGCCAAAGGATGGTTATTTTGCATAAGAACCGCACCCACCGCATAGTCTGACGCATCTGCTGCAATTTCCAGGTTTTCGTCCCCCTCCGGGAATTTTAAAACAGGGGCATTGATAAGCGCTTCTTTTAATCTTTCAAAAGCTGTGTTTGCTTCCGCTGTCCACGTAAATTTACTTTTTTTCTTTTGATTACTAAGAGTGGTTCAACAATATTAGCGAAATCTTTTATGAAAGATCGATAGTAAGAACATAACCCAAGGAAAGAAGAAAGTTTCTTGGCGGTGTTGGGCGGTGGGAAATTCTTGATAGCTTTTATTTTTGAATCTTGCGTTTCTATACCCTTTTGCGAAATTTTATAACCGAGATATTTAAGTTCTTTAGTTGCGAACTTGCATTTTGAGGCGTTAATTGTAAGACCGGCCTCTTTTAATAATTTAAAAACTTGTTCTAGGATCATTAATGTGTTGTTCCAACGTACTACTCGTTATAATTATATCATCTAGATAAATTAAAGTTGATTTTCCTAGGACAGGCTTTAGAACAATGTCCATAGCTCTCTGGAATGTTGATGGGGCCCCACACAACCCAAAGGGCATGCGTAAAAATGCATAAGTGCCCGATTTTGTTATAAACGCGGTTTTATGTATATCTTCGGGTCTCATAGCTATTTGATAGTAGCCAGACGTTAAGTCCAAAGTAGACATATATCTTGTCGATTTGATCTGTCTAATGATTTCCTCTATAACCGGCAAAGGGTAAACTGGGAATTTAGTAATACTATTTAGTTTTCTGTAATCGATAGCAAACCTCCAAGCCCTTTTATCCGAAGGAGGAAACTCGTTCTTTTTCCTACATAGTACGACTGGACTCGCGTACTCACTATTTATGGGCGTTATTATTTTATTCTTTAACATCTCCTGAATATGTTCTTCGATGATTAGGTCTTTTGTTTATCATAGCGATAAGGTTTAGTCCTACAAGGGTTTTTCGGCATTTAATTGTATCTTCATGCGTAACTATTTGACAGTTTACCAGGTTTTTCTGAAAACAAGTTTGAAAAATTACTCACCACTTGCTGGATTGCTTTGACTTTCATGGTCATTCAAATGGCTAAGGTCCAACTTGCGGTTGTCTCCACAGGTTCCACCACCTCTGGTCCATCTCCAGCACCAACGGAACTATCTTGAAAATTTCAATTTGGCCCTCGCGGCCCTTAAAAACTCCATACCTAAAATAAGAGGATTTTGCAGATTTTTTTCACCTACAAAAATTAATACTTTGAGGCTTTCCTCTTTTTACCTGTAGTTTAATGATAATTTCCCGATGCAGTGACATGTTTTTCCTTGCGCCGCTATAATTTCCGTATTTTTGGTTTTTAAATAATCGTAACCTATAAAAATTCTTTTTGAAGAAATTTCACTCATAAAATTTCCTTCTGCTCCTGTATCGATGAGGGCTTCTCTACTGGTACATCGCCAACCAGGACTTGTATAATTGGTAGATGTGAGTTTTTACGATGACCGTATTTAAATGTCTTTTTGAGGGTTTTTTAAAACTTCCGGGGTCTGGACCCTCCCTTTCACAGGCCCCTCTACTCGTTTAAAGCTTTCCTTTCAATCTGTCTGCCTTCTGGGTACGCGGACGTTTTTTATTTTCAAATTTCCTTTTTGGGCCTTGACCTTCGAGGTTCGATGAGTTAGCTTGATAGCTCTTTCCCCCATAAGAGCGATTTGCATTTCTGGTTGCTCATTTGAAGATTGCCTTCGGGTACTTTGAGAATACGATGCCCCTCTAGCTTTTTCCGCTATTCTGCGATTTTGAAACTTCACCGCCAATTCGAAGAGCTCCTGCAATGTGCTTGGGTTTCTAATTTCGAAGTAGTCTTGAACAGCAGGTAACAATCTTGGTAAGATTATTTCAATAATCTCCGCATCGGGTTTCTTTCCATACAGCATATCCGTCAGCTTAATTTTTCGCAGAATAAAGTCCGTCAACTCTTCTATATCCCGTTGATAGAAACTATATAGTTCGGCTTCTAGCCTTGCTCGATCTTTCACTATGGGGAAGGCCTTTAATAACGATTTTTTGAAATTTTCAAATGTATATGTCTGGCTTCCAAATTCCCCTAATAAAAATTTGCCTATATTCTTCCACCATAGCGCGGCCTGTCCTCTTAGTGCAGATGTGGCGATGGCAACTTTTTGTCTTTCAGGCACAGGGTAGAGCTGAAAGTGATTTTCTAGGCTTCTAGAAATATCGCCACCGAATTTTTTTTTCCGTCGAAATTGACGTTTGGCTTGACTGACGCTCTCAACGTCTGGACCAGTTATCCAAATCCTTCCAATTAGCTTCCCATTTCTTGTTGTTGTCTCGCGGCTTCCATCCAATTTTCGGCCATTTCAGTTCGACAAGTGTTCGGGCGCCAATGTAAAGTTGCGCGCTTCCAACCTGCACGCAACAAAGTGTGACTACTGAGAACTGGAAATAGACCAAAGTCTTGAGAAGGGTTTAAATCCCTTTTATTCAACTTTAGAAGTTACAAATGCGTGCTCTTGACGCTCACAAACTACGCCGACGCGGCGGTAAAATAAAAATAAGAAATTAAAAAGAGATACTAACAAGTGACTAACTACGAGGCTCTCTAAACGTAACTAACCTCACCGCGTTCTAAAATACCGCTGATGATTCAGCAAACTCTGAATATTACGTTGAAGATTAACAATTTGCCGAGGCAAGCACACAGGCCGAAACGCGTGGTTCTTCAATTTCAACTACCCACCTCCACACTCGTGAAGCAAGAAAGCACCCTTTCGAACTCGTTTCCTTTCTATTTAACTCAGAATACTTCCGCTGATAATTTGAATCTTTGCGCGTTCTACTAAAATTTACATACTCTGGCATTGGCAATTCCAGGGGAAAGTAAGGCTTGACAGGAAAGATAGTTTAAACTTAAAATAAATGTTAGTTAAAATAAATATAAACCCTACAAGTTTCCAGCGAGTTGCTGCCACTAGACAGGCGAGGGCGCGGGACATATGCCTGTTTACCTCTATTAAACACCAGGCGTCACCTATCACCTGTATATAACATAATAGTACGTACAATCATTATTCTTCAAGTAGTACTGTAAGTCATTTTTATATCTGAAAATGATAATTTTCAAGAATATTTAAAAATACATCCAGAAAAGGTTATATAACCGCTAAATTAGTTTATTTAATAACATTTAAAAAGATTTCATTTTAAATATTCTATAATTTATTTATCTTATTCTTGATGCCTTGGTTATTAAGTATAAAATAATTTACTTACAAATATACGTGAGACATATGAAAGAACTTTTCTTTTCTAAAATCCTCAAACTTTTCGAGATAAAGATATGATCTTTGCATTTCTTTGGTTTAATTCCAGTTTATCAGTTTGTTATGTGCAAATGTTCAGCATCATTTACAGATATTGTACAGATCAATGCTGGATTTAATGTTGTGAAAATCTCATTTACTCATTCCTACAAGTAAACTGACGAAGTCATTGACCAACCCTAAGCAAAGTCAAGATCATTGGTCATACCCAGCAAGGTTGGTCATTTCCCAGACCCTTGAAATAAAAGACTTTTAACGGATGCACTCCTCTTTAAAGGATATTCCCTGACACCGAAAATGTACATTTTCCTGTGAATGTTCGCTGAAGCGAATTTCGATTGAATTTTAATTTTAATATTTAAAGACACCTGAAAGTTTTTTGTTACTCTTTTGCAACTTCAACTATCTTCGAAATAAAAAGAGATTTTAATAAATAAAATGAGTGATCTACAAAAAACAGTTATAGATAATGCTTATTTGTCTAAAATGTATTTAATTTAATAATTTCTTAAAAAAACATACTTTCATCATAAAAGAATATTCTCTTAGTCTTTCAGAGAAATCTTCATGTCTTTCAGCAGTTGTGCTAAACATTAGTATCGTATGTTTTTACTTAATGATATTTATATTGGTAGGATATTCCTCTATTATGTTTTAAAGCGTTATTTTCTTTTAAAGATTTCCCTAATTATTGTCAATACTTTTACAGGCATATTGCTTGGTTTGTGTTTACTCCCAGTATCAGGAATACGTAGCTGGACGAGGGTATCCACAAGCCAGAACAGGAAGACCAGTGAGTAAATTATTATTTCATCAGTGCTGTTCTATCTAAATGAATACATATCCATTCAGAGAGAAATATTTAATGTAGTTAACACTTGAAAAAATATCTGATATGGATATCACAAACCATTTCGTTAAAAATTGCCGAATACAAAAAAAAAAAAAAATAAATAAATAAATAAAATAAAACTCCAAATACAGTTTAAAATGTTTTGCAATTAAAAATTAGAGTTTCTAAGCAAAAACAAGCAATTCGGCCAGCGGGTAACAAGTCAGATTTTCTGGTGCACAAAATTGAAAGTTTAATTTTGGTCCCACTCGACAAAGGAACACTGAAGTTGGTGCACAAACTGAATTAATTCACTGTTCTACTGAGAGTTTCAAATGTAAACAAATGGCCGCCTCTTTAACAGTGCCACTTAAACATTTAAACTATTGATAATTCTACAGCTAGTTCATGAACATTAATTTAAGTTCATCGACCACTCTTTGTTACTCACCGGATAAAGAACAGCAATATATTATATATTTGTGTGTGTCTAAAATCTCTTCTGAATCTATTTTATATCGATTTTACAATCCGTTTTCTGAAAAATAATCCTTTATTCTTTTCGCGAGTACAGATGTTACGCAAAAGCATCGTTCAGTTGAATTCAAGAGCGGCCAAAATGGATATTTTCGTCGAAATATGATACCCTAAATTTTTAGCAATTACAATATTTCCTTGACTTCGTGCAAGCAAGTAAAAATAACTTTATTAGTTTAAAGTACACAAAAATTTGGTCAGTGTAAAACACTAGGACATATAAATATAATTAACACCAGTTTCGTTTGAACAAATCCAGCATTGTCAAATCATTATTATTACGATTAATGCGAGATACTTTATAGAACTTTTTCCATATGCAATTTGAAGCACTAGACCGGAAGAAGAAAGTTGTGGCTCTGAACAGTTTTACCAGTGCTCCAATAAGGACAGAGTGCTGGATCCGGTTATGAAGTTTTATCATTAAATGAATTTTTGCATAAAATTATTTTCTATTTCTTCCATAGATTTAAATACAAAGGCGAATTAGCTCGAATAATGATCTAGGTACCACAAAAACGCAAATTGTGGTTTTTATTCCAATTATTGGGAAAACAGTTGCAGACCTTTTGACTTTCTTTTGTGTCGCATACCTTAAATGTTCTTCACACGACATTTTAAAGATCTCCGGATTTGTCCTGCGCAAGCAGTACATTCCAAACCAAATTCATAAGCAATTTTTAACACCTATAAATAAAGTTTAACTTTTCCGTATTTTAAAAATAAGAGCTTTATTCTGTTGCTAGGTTTAAAGGAAAATATAGCATACTTTTTTAACCACTTGGACAGCAGAAAGCTAAATTAATGGATTAACGACAGACAACTGGATAGAATTGAAGTATTATCAGTGTGAAATTTGAAAGCTGAAGGAGATGGAAATTTTTAAAGTTCTTTATATAGCATGGTTCGAGATGAAACATTTTTATCAAAACACATAATTTACAGCCTTATAAATAAGCAACTTATGATTATTTTGAAAAGAAATATATGCAGTTTTTCAAAAAACAGAAACTGTAAATAATTGATTCTTTACATACAGTTACAGCTTAAAATATAAACACGATATTTGTAAAATTCATTTAACTCCTGTATCTTACAAGATAAGTTTTGAAAGACCTATATCTGAAACTAAAGTTTTTCCTCAGATTGAAGCTATTTCTTTATTTTATCAACCTAAAATTACCTTCCAATTTAATTTTGAAAAAATTTAAGAAATAAAGAAAAAATGAACTTTATAAAATATTTTATATATATTATGTTGCATTTCAAAATCCACTGTTCACATTAACTTAATTGAGCTTCACATAATAAAACATATAAGTAGAACATGATTGTAAACTTTTACAACTTATTACTTTTTCTAATATTGCAAGAAAGTATCAAAATCAGCAATTGGCAGAACTTTGTTTAAAAGTTAAATTATTATTTTTTATTACGAAATACATGTAGAAACATTGAAAATGCATCGTATCGTTTTCGTATGTAGTGCCTTCTAGATTTATAAAATGCTTTTGTACTGCATTTTTGTTTCTTTTCCTATCAGCTCTACAGTTCTAAGTTTTGAGTCTCTCAATTTAACCTGTGATCATTTTCCACATTTATAATCACACTGCAAAGCAGAAGTAATATAGAAATGTCAAATCTTAAAACTAAGACATTTTGTTATCCTTGTTTGACATTTCATTAAATGTCTGTACTGTCACATTTACCACTATATAAACTCACATTTAAAAGAACCAAATGTTTTTAGGCAATACTGTTTATAATATAAACAGTAGATTTAAAATAATTATTTGCATTTTGAAGGCCTTCGTCAAATATTTTTAATAATTTATGTTCCTAAAGTTTCTCATAAAAATGGTTTTTATCTCATAAGTTACAGGAACTGGTATGTCATTTTCCTGTTTATATGGAGAAACACTTTTCTTACACTACAGATTTCTGTACTAGTACCACACGGTAGCTTCGACTGAACAAAAGTTATGCATGGAGTATCACTAGACCTATAATGGTAAAACATGGTCCATATGGCTTTAAGAATATCTTCATCAGAGCTATTATTGTGCAGTTAGCATTTTTATAACAAGTATTAAATTAAATTATCTGCCTATCACTCAACCGGGCTTTTGCGCTATTACTGCCATGTGCAAATGTTCTATCCAGGTTCATCAAATTTAATTTACATCTCCACCCAAACACTCTTCTACATTCCCACCACAGGACTTTCTCTACCGTTTAGTATATTTTTTGTGAGATATTAAATAATTCCTCAAATGTTTTCTTCATGCAAGCAGCTGTAAACACGGTGTGTCCATATTTCATTTAAAGGGCAAATCATATAGTATGTAACTTTTATTGCTATTGGCATAATTATTGTCACCTTTCCATGAAGGTTTTCTCAAATGATTTAGCACTGCAAATTATATTTAAATATAATTTTAAAAGAACGGAAAGTTCGAATGTTTAAATGTCCAAGATATTTTTTCCTTCCTTCCTGCATGCCTAGAAGCATACTCGACGCGTATTCGAGAGCTCCAGGGTTAAAGTCTCGGCGAGGACAATGCGGATTTCTTCAATTTCCTGACATAGAAAAATTCTAATAAATCTAAAGTGGCTCCCGAACTAAAAAGTGGTGGATGATAATGCGCCACCAACAGGATTTGCCGATGGGGTGCAATAATCTCCAGTCGCCCTTTAAAAGAGAGAGTATATAAGGTATTTTCTCCCTAATTTCCGCATGTTAGTGTAACTAGAAACATACTCGACGCGCATTCGAGAGATCCAGGATTCCAGTCTCTGCGAGGGAATTGCACATTTTTCACGTTCCAGCATCGATATAACCTAATGACTCTATAATTGTATTATGTAGCTCTTAAAAGCAATGGGAAACTTTCAAGACATTCCAGTTTTTCAACCTAAAGTTTTCAAACTAATGATACTTTAATAATATGCATTTGTCTACCACTCACACGCGAACTTAACCCTCTTCTCCCTAAATTCTTAGAAAAGAGTACAGTTTTATATACTCTTTTAAACCTATCAATAGGTTCAAATTCTCATTCATAAAATATGAATTACCAGTTCTTTAATCATGGGATGTTTACAAACTTCCTTGTGAGGGTAGTTTTGCGCATATTGGCGAAACAAACGAAAACATTGAATTTCAAGGTCGGTGAAGGCGTTATACGTGTGAAATAAAAGGAACATCATTGGTTTTCCATTGCTGGACAAAACTACAGTTTTCGATCTTTGGAATCCAATATCATTGCTCGCATAATCCGTTGAACAGTTTTATTTCCTAGAAACTTTGGAAAACCTTTCACATAGCAGTGTGATTAATGTTGTAATTGCAATTAAGTTTCCCCTGCAGGCATCGAATATTTTTTCCAGTGACCCATTTTTCTTCGTTGGCTTTATATTCCAACTTGTAGGCGAATCACTACAACTTCTACTGTAGTTTTCATAGCCGCCCTGATTGGTACAATGGTTAGCGATGATCGACATAAATGATTATAAGTGTATAGCATAAATGATTATAAGTGTATAATGTCTGTACGGCAAAGGGATCCCAAAATGCACGGTGAGCCGAAAGACCTCTCAAAAGGTTAGTAATATGGAAAAAAGGTAGAAGAATCTAGGACTGTTCCCAAGTTGTTCTCTAACAAACTGGAGCGGAAGACGTTTTAACAGTTAGCAGGGCCTAGCGACACCTAATATAATCCTTCGTGAATGCACAGATGTCGGCCTTGCTTCAACTTGTGCTTGGCTTCTTGGCTGTTCTCTATCAAAAATGAGTACAAAAAGGAACTGCAAAGTAAGTGTGGTGAGCCTATATCAGGGCAACCAGTAGTGAACTAACGGTCTACTCATTACTTATATCTATACTCAGGGCCAGAAGAAGGGTGAGGCAGGTAATTTATTTTTTAAACTTATGATTTTTAATTTTTAATTTCGTAATACATCAGTGAATATTAAAAGAATTTTATGTTATAATTAATTCATCTAAAAAAAGAAAAAGAAAACTAAAAGCAGTGAATTATTCTCAAAAGACATGAGCTTTCACATTAGTGTATATAATATTTTCTAACATTAAAATTTGTTATTTAAAGTAGCTTTAAGGAACTAATTACACTTTGCGTAACGAATTGTATAGACTAAACTTTTATATAAAATACCATACTGCCGACATTAGTTGTTCTTTGCTGTCTCTCATTAGTTTGACTTCAGCTCTTTACTTAGTCATAACAAGCCCACCAAAGTCCACTAACTGAACATAGAAGCCGACATAACTGATGAGTTTCGCAATATCATAAACGCCTTCTGGAATAGCATCCGAAGAATAAACAAGGGTCAATGAAAATGAAATGTGCCATATTATTAGTTATTATACTTTTTTTAATAAAATTTTCCAATAAATGAGGTGC